ATCAAGCGTCACTCGCTCAGCGAGAAGAGGTCGAGGCTGTCCTGATAGGCGTGGAGAAAAATTGTGCTTTGGTAGCGTACCTGAAGAGGATGCTGGAAAATGAATGGGAACTCCCTTCTGGGACGCTTCCAGCTTTCGAGAAGGAGCTTGCGAAGTGGCAGACTGCAAGTAACGTATCAATGAGATATTTATTATCGATCATGATCTTAGTCTGCCAAGCAGGTTAGTAATATTATCGCTGTCGTTTTTGTAGAAAAAAGTTTTCCCCTTTCTCTTTTTTTGACGTGCTTGAGCTTCATGACTGCAGGTGTGCTATCGATGAGCTTTTGAAGCAGGCGCAGGGAGATATGGCGGTGCCAGAGTCAAGGGATGATCCAAACTAAGCGGCTATCTCCTTCTTCTTTCGTTTGTTGTATTTTATTGGACATTGCCCGAGAGGGTTTTTATCTTATTTATTGGAATTAATGATTTTACCTTTTTTAGCAAAAGTAAATCAATGTGACTTTTCTGAAAGTTTTGTGATGCGATGGAACTTTATAGTTCGGTATTGGGAGCGGGATTCTTTTGTCCGTCTTATACCAAACGACAATTAAGATCGAATACCAAGCTTTCAGGATTCACTTCGACCAGAAAGATATGATCGAGGTTCGTGCGAGTGTTGTCCTCGGCTTTCGTCTTATCCACTTTGGAAGTAATTAAATCGAACCGAAGATTCAAAGGAGTGGTGATCAGCCACAGAATTAATCTTTGCTTTTTGCTTTTTGAGTCGAATGTTTGGCCATAACATCGACATAGTTAAATGCATTCGCATAAGGAAGATTGCTCTATATGCCAAGCTGATTTTCCAGAAAATAGAAATTTATTAGATTTACAGCTGCACCCGGAGGTTGCTTACGTACCCAAGTCGGGATCAAGCCATTTGTAGTTCCTTACAATTATCAGATGAGTGTATTAACTCAGAGGCCAAGCCGGCCTTTATTGGTGCTGTAAAATAAAAATAAATATAAAAGCCACACGATTCTTGCCGAATCTACTCTGTTTTCTTGGTGTCATCGAGGGCTTTTGCCGTGGTGAGTCGCACTTTGTGTTCGCTGATGAAGCAAGATCTTTTCATTTGTTGATTGACGCGAAGTGTGAAGATGCCAACCGAAGTAGCAAACTTCATGCATTGATGGTAAGTTGATATGATGGCTTTTATCTCATGGATCCATGGCGTGCCGAGAATGATATTATAGATTGTTAATTTATCCATGACGGTGAATTTGACGATCTTGGTTACTCCACCGACGTAAACTGTTTAACGTATCGTGCCAATGCTGAAGAAAGATTCGCTAGCAAAGCCGGTGAGTGGCTGAGGTACCGCCTTGATATCCTTGTCCTGGAGCCTAATCTTGGTTAAGGTATCTTTGAAGATGATATTAACCATACTGCAGGTGTCCACCAGTATTTGTGCTACTTCGCTATAGTGGATATGCAACTTGACGACCAGCGGGTCGTTATGCGGGGTGTGTAACCCATGCATATCCTTCGATGTGAAGGTAATTGTTGGATGGTAGTCCACGGGATGAGGGAACTTTTGCGAGGTAACCGCTTTTTGTCCATACTCCTTGATGGCGCGAACCAAATCATCGCAGTTAGGAAGGCCTCCCATGATCATGTTGACCTGTCGCTTGGGCGGTAGAGGTGGATTGTTGTGCTCGCCATCATTGCTCTCGTGCTCCACGCCTGTTTCTTTATCTTTTTCTTCCCGCTTCTTCTCGGGCGATCGACTTTGGTGCCTTCCTCCTAAGCTGCTTTGGCTGGTGTTTTTGCTTTGGTCTCGGTGATCCCTGCTTGCGCACTTCGGTGCGAATCCTTGGAGTTGGAGCTGCGTGAGTAAGAATTTTTACTCTGGGATCGATCTCCACCGACATCGATCTTGCCTTCCTTGTATTTTTCATACAACAAATTTTGGAGATGTTGGCAGGCCGAAGTAGCATGTCATGTTCGCTCATGGAAAGAGCAGTAGAGATCGTGGTTATCATCTCAGTCGTCTAAATTTCCTTGAGGATCGCCGCGGGTCCACTGATTCCAGGGTTTCTCTCCGGTTGCTACAATGGCGTGAGAGGATTGCCTGCCCTTGCTCGCTGGGTACTTGTCTTGTGAAGTGCTTGCTCCATCCATTCCATGTTTCTTAGCATAGAAGGTTCTTTCTTCTTCCATCCGTATGAAGGTTTGAGCGTGGTGAAGTGCATCCTCTATGGTGTCTTTTGGATTTTTCTGCAAATCTTCTTTGAACGAGAATTCGAACCACAAACCGTTCATGAGCACTTCGATTGCTAAGGCTTATGGTATCTGGCCATATGCCGCGGTGGCTTCCTTAAATTTTTCTGTGTATTCCCGAAAAGGCTGGTCACGTTCTTGTACTAGAGTAAAGAGGTTGACGGTCCTTTTGGAGATGAACATTGAGCAATGTTTCATGAAGACAGTGGACAGCTCTTTAAAGTTTCTGATCGATCCCGGTGGGAGATTAGAGAACCACTTGAGAGTGTCTTTGTTGAGGTTTTCGACGAAGATTTGGCAGTGATTAGCTTCTCGCTCGAGGTCGGTTTCGAACCGTTGCCTCTTCATGGTGACGTTGAACCCGGTCAGCCATAGATTTGGGTCTTCTGTCCCGTTGTAGTATGGAAGCTTCAATTTGATTGTCGCGCCGAGGCGTACGTTGGTGATTCAAGAGGCGAATGGATTTTGCTCTGTGTCTGTGAGGATTGCCGAGATTTCGGGGGTGAACTCGTAGCTCGGTGAACCTGGGATCTGATTGCATTGATCCATTGATGCAGTTTCGGCATCTCGGATTCCAGCTCGTCAAAAGTCTTGTCGGTGTCTGGCACAGTGTTTTGAGTGTTGTTGTGCTCCGGCGTTTCGAAGACCAATCGCCGTTCTAGTGGTGCGGATCTCGCGGTAGTTGCGGCTGCCAAGGTGCTAAGTTGTTCGTCATATTTGGCATGTTGAGCTTGGAGAGCGTCTAGTTTGGATACCAAGCTCTATGTGAGTGGTAGCAAGGCTGCCTGGGTTGCTGCAGCGAGATCGTCAGCGGGGGCGGGGGCCAGAGCTGTTCCTGTGGGTGGTGGAATATAGGTGGAGTTAACGATAGGTTTGCCATGCTCGTCAAGAGCAGGCGTTTGAGTGTGCGTGGTAGTATATTCTGTGTGGAGGGTGAGATCGCTGTTGTCGGACGGAAGGGTCATCGCTTCGGGTCTTTTCTTGCTAGTTTTAAGAATTTTATTCTTCTAGTCCCCACCGACGGTGCCAATTGTTGAACCAGAAGATCACCACCATGGTTTATGATTAACGGTTGTGGGTTTTGGAGAATAAGTTCTTTATTAAATAGCTCAAAGATGAAGCGATTACAAAGATTAGAATAACCGAGAGGTTATGCCGAAGTAGAAGAAAAGTGTTTATGCGATAAACTAGAAAGCTTAGAGTTCTTTAGGTTTAGCTCTACTGCTCTCTAGATTATATGGGTTCCCCTCTTCTTGTGCGCTGGGGTCTTCTTATTTATAGGAATAGGAGATCGATCGCTGCGAGCTCCTTTTTCTTTTCTTCTTTGGTGAATATTTCCATATTTGCGATATGGAGATATCCCTTATTCTCCGAAAAATATAAAAATTCTCCTTTATCCTTGAATATTCCTTCGAGTTGATCTGATGCTTCGAGAATTTGAAGATTATTTTCAAAAAATTTCTTTTTTCAGTTACGTTGGTGCGGTTTTGTAAAGCTTGATAGATTTAAATTATTGTTAGAGAAAGCCTATTAAGAAATATGCTTATTTTCTATCTAACACTGACCATTAAATATGAATGAGTAGAATGAATAAGAAAAACAGAATGTGAGTTATTATTTTTTTTCAAATTTGATGAGAAACATTTTTACTATATAATTTTGCAAAATGAAAATAAATCATGTATACAAAATATTACTTGTAAATAGTGTAACTTTTTAGGAATAAAATAGAATCTAATGGTTCTACTCATTCCTTTTGTCACCATTTAGAATCATGCATAGAAATATAAGTTTATGCTCTGTTCTCTGAATTACAACTTTTTTTTAACAATTCCGTGAGTTACAACTTACAAGGTTCAAAGTTCAAACCACTCGCCACATGCAGATTTTATATTATGTAAAATGTTAATGTCAATATCCAAATTATACCATCTTTCATACGTCTATTAATGATACATCTATATACATATAAATATATATATATATATATATATGTGTGTGTATATATAATCAACAATTGCTTTTCCCGTAAGTTTCAGCCACAGTTGACAGTACCCCCCATATTTTACTGTCTCCTCCACATTACAAGAAGCCTTCCATTAGAAGCACTCTTCTTTCCATTGCACGAAACGTCTTTATTTGGCTGTTTCTTTTATAAAGAAAAAGAATCTATTATCTGCTATTCACTTTGATCTTCCTGAAAACTCAAATGAAAAATTAGTATATCCTTTGTTTTTCTGTTTTGCCTTCAACTACACACCTAACATTTTTTTCTAAATTTAATCCATACATATGCCTACTTTATATATACGTATCTTTGTCTTGTTTTTGGATTGGGAACCAAACAATGAGAATAACATTTTAGCTACCTATTTCAAATATACCAAACTAAAGAAAATTGTTAACTTCCCAATTGAAAATAAACATGTTAACCTACTAGTGCTTTAGCCCCACTTGGTATTCTTTTTCTCAATATATTTCATATTAAATATAGTTTCTGTTTCAGAATTTGACCTTTTAAGTCTCTAAGGTAGTCTAACGTACGTGTTTACTCAGTGATGACGAGTTGACCATGAGGCCATTTAGGTCATTTCACAGCCGTATCACCATTAGTAAGCTAAAGAAACATAAGCAACATGATAATGAATCTTGATAGGCTCTTAAGACCAAGTCTTGGGTTATATAACAAGTCATCTTCTTTATTGAGGAAGAGAAAGAGAAAAAAGTTCTGAAGAACAATGGCAACAACAAGACAGATCTTGGAACAGCCGCAATCACCATTTATTCAACGCATCAAGAGCAGTCCCATGATTGATGACAAAGAAGAGGAGCTTTCTCGCTCTGCTTTGGCTATGTTTAAGGCAAAGGAAGATGAGATTGAGAGGAGGAAGATGGAGGTTAAGGATAGGGTTCAAACAAAGCTTGGACTAGCTGAGGAAGCTACTAGAAGATTAGCTGAGATTCGAGAAGTAAGTTTGGTTTAAACATTTTCAAGAACTTGTACAAAGATTTTTCATTTTTTTCAAATTTTCAGGAACTAGAAGCTCTTACCGATCCAATGAGAAAGGAGATATCAGCGATAAGGAAAAGAGTCGATGCTATTAACCGAGAACTCAAGCCTTTAGGACAGAGTTGTCAAAGAAAGGTAATTAATGTGTGTTAAAGATGCTCATTAATCTCTATCTTTCTTGCAGATTCTTGTCTAAACAAACATCATCTGAATGGAGTAGATAGATGAACCATCTGAATAAATCATCTAGATGAAGATGACAACTGATCAAACAAACATGGCCTAAATGGTTGTTGTTGTGTTACAGGAGAAAGAATTCAAAGAAGCGCTTGAAACTTACAATGAAAAGAACAAAGAGAAAGCTATGTTTGTTAGCAAACTAGTTGAGGTGAAACATTCTTGTCTACAATTTGTCTTTTCTGTTCAAGATTTATTGTTTTTTTCTGAATAGTTTTTTCGGTATGAAAATGTGTTCAGCTTGTTACTGAAAGCGAGAACATTCGGATGTCAAAGCTTGATGAACTCAGCAAAAGCATTGAAGTTTCTCTACGCTAACACAAGATGATGAAAATCAAAGGTTGCAAAGAGCAGCCAGCTTTTTAATCTTTTCTTTTGAACTTTTAATTGTTTGATTTGATATTTGATTCCCTGTTTTCCCGATTCAGAAACCTTAGCAGAAATGTGTTAAAGACTTGGTATGATCTTACATTCTTATGTTTTCATGTTTGTGACCAGAAAAATATGCTATTTTCTTTCTTGCCCTGCACGTTTTGTAAACAACCTGTAAAAGCGATATGCCACATAGGCTATGCAAATTTAACCTCTTATCAATTATTTTTTACAAAAGCATTCTTGATTCAAAGTATATGGAACACAGAGTACTGCAAGAAAACATAAGATTACAAACTCCGACATTTATGAAACTATAAGAGCTTTTTCTCTAGATCTTCCTCATCTTCTTCTCTTGAATCCTATCATAGATATTCTCTGATCTATTTTGCTGTTTCTCCACTTTAACCTTCTGTTGCTCTTCAATTCTCTCCTTCCACTTCTCTGCGTTCTTCGTGCGCCTCTTCTTTGCCTTGCGGATTCTCTTCTTCAGTAGCTTTACATCATCATGAACCTTGATACCAGAAGCTCTGCTTATAGCAGCTTGCCACGAGAACTTCTTAGCAACATGTACATCCCCTTTCATTGCATCTTTCTTCAAATCCTGTAACTTCATTACTATTTCATGCTCTTTCCCCTTAGAAACTCTCTATTTCTTTCTCATTATTCCTCATCATATTTGTTCCCTATCTTTACATAACCGTATGTAAGATCCTTGACAGCCTCTTCAACAAGATACAATTTTTCAATATTAGAACATCTCTTCCTCTTAATTTGCTGGAATGATACATATATGTAGGTTATGACTTTCTGAATAATATGTTTTATTAATAATACGAGTCGATTGATTATAAGAACGGAAACAAAAAAGAATATTAAAAAAAAGGATTTCCGATAAAGGGATTCTCGAATGAGAAGCTCGAAATAAGAAGTTCAAAGCGAGAACCTCAAAGCGAGAACTTCTACAAAATGAGAAGCTAACAGAAAACAAGAAGCTATTTAGTACGTGTTTAGAGCCTAATCCCATAAAATTCAAAAAAAAGTGTCATTTTCGTATTGAGGGTACGGTCCTATTTATAGCAAATTGAGGCGGTGGTTCTACTGGGCTTTGTGGGCTTTGTGGTTGAATAGGTCTTATTGGACCTTATCCTCAAATCTGGTCCTAGCTGACTTTGTTGGGCTTTTATTCTCGAATTTGGGCTGAACTGACTCTGTTGGGCTTTATTCTTGAATCTGGGCCGAAAGTTCCTCCTTCTTTCTTGGGCTGGAGACTTGATTTGGGTCGAACTAATTAATGAATTGGGCATTTTCAAAGCTCGATACCAACAGTAAGTCCTCCTCCCCCCCCCCCACCCCCCCAGGTACCAACAGTAAGTCCCCCCCCCCCCCCCCAGGTACCAACAGTAAGTCCCCCCCCCCCAGTCCGTTTGGCAAAAAAGTCTTGATTTTAAGTCAACGGATTCTTCAAAAATCATTGGTTCGGTTTTAATCAAGATCGGCTTGAAAGTGGGTCCCGATAATGCTTTAGGTTAAATTGATGCTCTTTTTCTCTTGGCTATAAATACCCTCTTTCCTTCTTTGTTTGCTTCTCTTCTCTGTCTTGACATTGTTCATTGCTAAAGTAAATTTCTCTTCTCTTTTCTCCTTTTATCGATTTTTCTCTTATTTTCTTAGTGCTGTTTTGGTCCGCGTCTGCCGTGAATTTTAGGACATTTATCTTGCCGATTTGGAATTTGGCGGATCATTGCTTGCCGCCACCGCCGGCTGGTTCTTGGCTTCTGAATTCTGGGCTGTTCGGGACTGATCTGCATCACGGCTCTGCTTGGGATTTAGTATCGACGTTGAGGTCGCCGTCAGCACTGTAGGTCGGCATTAGTAATTGCGGTTGGTATCCAGGTCATCGTCTTGGACCTTTGTTTTGTCGGCGAGGGTGATGTTTTACGTTTATTGAAGATCGGCATTTGTTCGGAGCTGGCGATTTTGCCTTGTATTGGTTTCAGAGTATTCGCGATAGTGGGCTTCGTCGTTCCGGGTTGATCATCATTTTCCGGTGTTTCTCTCGAGATTTCCCTCGCTAGGTGTCGGCGGACCTTTGCTGACATTCGGCTGTTTTGAGGTTGATTTTAAGTTGTCTTGTTTGCAGACATCGTTGTGTTTTCAGAGACCATCGGCGTTCTTCTGAAGGGACCAAGGTCGGCTAATGTGGAGGTCGGCCTATTAGTTTCGCGAGCTCGGCATTCCTCTAATTCTGAGGTGAGATTTGTTCCCGTCGATACAACCTCCATTTTGCTTTTTTGAACTTTTGAGATGCATTTGCCTGTTTTCTTGTTCGTATTCTCTTGTTTATTTGGTTCCGATTTCTTTTGTTACAGGTCGGGTTTCTGTTGTTCCCTTGGTGTAGCTCGGCTTGTCCTTTCCAGTTGGTCGGCTTTTGCAAATTAGGGTCGAGGTCGGCCTGTTTCAACTTGTGTCAAAGTCGACCTGTTTTTGTTTCAAATTCAAGCCGACCTGATTTTTTTTTCTTATCGCTTCTTCGCGCCGGCCTCCTCTTTTATTAGCATACGGGGTCTGATACAAGCACCAGATGAGTAAGGGATTGAGACGGAAGGAATGAGCCGAACAGCCGAGGAACTCAGGCTATAGTGATCAGGGAACAGACCGGGACGTGGAACAAGGCATGCGGGACGAACGGTGATAGGGGTGGTACGAGATGGAACGGGTGAGATGTTGGGCGGTATGGTCCGGGACGATGAGTGGTACTACGTGTGACGAGAGAATGGTACACGTGACGAGGATGGGTGGTACACGTGACGAGGGCGACTGGTACGCGTGACGACGGGACGGTACGCGTGATGATAGGCGGTACGATAGGACGATAAAATTTGGTCGAATGGTCGAGGAACTCAGACTATTGGACCGATGGTCGGATGGTATGAAAACAAGAACTGGGGGATTGAAGTGCACCACAAAAGCTATGGATTTTCCTTTGATACAACACAGAAACTTCTCTATAAACTTGGAGGCAAAGATCTCAACAAGATTTAAAAGAGAAAGAACACAAGATTTATTATTAATCTTTGAGAAGAAATTCGTTATTTTTATTAAAAAATTAAAGGTAACCAAATTACAATGCTGCAGGGGAACCTTATATAATGGTTCTTCAGTTTTAGGAAATTAAAATAAATACAAGAAAAAAAATACAAAAGTGCAAGACCAAAAATACATAAGTGCATTAACGAAAATAAAAATCAAACAGCTAATCAAAAGGAACAAAATTTGGGATTAGTCAAACCATAAAATGATTAAAATAATTTAAACACTTACCTTTACTAGCCGTTGACGAGTTGGTATAAGTGATGATCTCCTTGATTCCTTTTACGCTTCTTCCTCTTGAATGTGGACAGTAAACATGTTGTTGTGGGCTTCTTTGGATAACAAAGGCCAGCTTCCCAGTGTCTTGTCCGTTGGGTCTTGATTTTGGTCTTTGAGATATTCAACTGAGTCGGTCCAAGTATTTATGTTGCTTTCTTGATCCGCTTGGGCCATTGCTTGTAGTATAGCTTGGTTGTATTTGTTTTGAAGTGAACGAGCCCTTTGTCTAGTCATGACGCCTTTGTTTGGAATGGGTATCTCTAGTTCTTGAGAATCTTGTAGTTGTGGTCAGTGAGGTCCGGTTCAGTAGAGATGTCCTTATCAGGGTCGGCCTCCATTTTTGGTAGCACTCTAGGTCGGCCATTAGTCTTGAATTTTAGGTCGTCCTTGATATTTTAGGCTAAGGTCAGCCCCTTTATTTTTGCTGATTGCCGTTTTAATAAAGAAGTTTTGATTCCATTCTTTTCTTCCTCTTGTTTTTTTAGGTTGGCGTCTTCTCTTCTTGGGTGTTCGAGTTCAGGTCAGCTTTGTTCCGATCGGGTGAGTCGGCACCCTTTCTTCTTCGATGACTCAGCATATTTCTCAGGTCGGCCTCTTTTATTCTCTTCTCTTTTTTTTTTTTGCAAGTCAGCTAGCTTGACTATCTTCACGGCGGAGTTCTTAGACTCTTTGGTAGGTGTAATCTGGTAGGCATAATTATGTAGGCTAATATTTTTTGGTAGATGATTTTAGGTAGGCAATATTTTTCGGTAGACAACTTTAGGAAGGCCAATGTTTTTTCGGTAGACGATTTTAGGCAAGTCAATGATTTTTTTTTTAATTGCTTGCTTCGTTTCCTTTTCAGTTGGGGAGGTTGTTTGTTCCAGGGAACGAAGGATTGCAGACTGCAGAGAATTTAGAAATGGTTGCATCTCCTCCGGATGGGGCGAGGTCAGCCTCCTCTCTGAGCAGTATTGATTCGACATCTTCTACTAGTGGTTCTGGATTGTCATCTCCCTCGGCCGGGATAAGGTTGGCTCCTTCTTCTGTTGAGGTGGATGTAACAGGCTCAGATGATTCCGCCATGGATGTGGACAGTCCTAAGGCGAGTGGGGTGACTGGTTGAGGTGGTAATGCCGGCAGGGAGCTTGTCAACTTATCTTGTCCCGATGCAGATTCTGCGGGGTCTGAGTCTCCTTTACTTTCTTCGCATCGCGAGTTTCCTCGTTCTAAGTCGATGGCGGAATCTTTAGAGGCGATTTGGTATGCTTGCGGAGTTTCTGATCTAGAGTTTCGAGCGCCTGGGGTGAACGTGCGTCCTTGGACGCCTCCTCCTGGTTGGATATGCCTCTACGAGTATTGATTTGAGCATTGCCAGTTGTGGTTTCCCTTGCCCAAGCTCTTGTTGGATTGATTGTGAGGCCAGAGAGGTTGCATTGACGTAGCTTTTTTCGGGTACGATTCGGAATATGGTCAGGGCGATCATATTGGCGGAATCGTGTAATGTTAAGATGAGTATTCGTTTCTTTGAGGAGATATTGAATGTGACTTGGAACACCCAAGGACCTCAGCAGACTCTTGCTGTGAATATAAGATCAAGAAAAAAGATTGTGACTTGTGTTCCGAAGAAATGTCATCGATGGTGGGGGCGTTAATTTTAAGTCCGAGTGAACTCGGCGTTTGTTCGCGGTGGCGATAGTAGGACGTTCTTGAGTCGATGGAATCCCGCATCTGGTAGATTTAGCGATTCTTCTTATATTTATTTTTTGATCATGTTACTTAGTTGATTTTTGTTTGTTTTTTTTTGCAGTTGTTCATCCGGTCGGCGAGGAGCGTCATGTAGGTCTCGTGGAGGATCTTGGCAAAATTCGACGGTTAGGAGTTTAGAAGTGGTTGAGGATTTTTGAGGCTCAGAGAGTCAGGGAGCTTTGTCGCGGGGTTACAAGTATCTATTCAGTGTCCTTTTATAGTGAGCCTTCTTCAACGTTGTGTGTTTTGTCTTCTAACCCTTGTTTTCGTTTTGCAGTTCATTTTGACGAGACATGGAAGATGGAGAAGCGATTGATGAATGTTCCTAAGTTCTCCGGAAAAAAGGTTCCGCTGATGCCCTCAAAAGCTGTGGCCGGCTCGTCCTCAGCTGCTCGAAGAATTGGGGAGAAGGACAGGAGGGTGGCCGGCCCAGAGGCGAGGGATGCGAGGAGCAAGCTGTTTCCTATTTGTTTGGAAAGGGTGAAGGATACCGCTGGAAAGGGGAAGGTCGGCGAG